TCTTGAGAAATGAGCAAATGATTTATGTTAACCCTGACTTGATTTTGTAGATTATGATGGGAGCAAACAAATTAATGACTTAGTTAATAATATTGCCAGAAGTTTCCACTTCTAATCAGGAGCCACTGGAATCAAAGTGCCCCCAATACAAGGACACCTGGAGATAAACACACCTCTTTGGACCCTTATGGACCACAGTAACTGGGGCAAAACTGTACTTTAGAGCAGGCTGAATTCCAGAAGACCAGGGTCCCTTCCACACATGTTCATGAATATTTTCTTATATATTTCATATAAACAGAACTGAAATTTTATATAGCCACATGATTTTTTTAAAAGCATACTAAATTGATAATGGACCAGGCAAGAAAATAACAAGAATAATGAACAGCATATACCAGGGACATTTTGTGGGGGTGGAGTGGGGAATGGGACCAAAAATGGGGGGTTGGGGAGGGAAGTGCACGGGATTATGGTGATGGCACACGGGTGACTTGGTGATGGGAAACCCACGGGATTACAATTGAGATGAAAAAAAAATGTACAAAATGATGTAAAAATAAACTGTTATAAAATAAAAAAAAATTAAAAAAACATACTAAATTGATATTCTGAATTCTGTTAGAGGAGCTGGAAGAAGCTAGGCAACACCCTAGCCAAAAAGTAAATAAACAAACTATTTCTAAAGCCCTGTCTGGAGTATGTGGTCCAGCAATTCCCTTCTAGGAATTTATGCTAACGTGATTTTCATGTGTATGTGCAAAGAATTACCTATAAAGATATCCATGGTGAAATTTTAAAAAATTAAAAAGGAACCATGATATGCTTGGAAAATCCTGAGTAAATTATGGTACCTCCAAACAATGAAAAATTAAACAGAAGTTTAAGATCTTGTTTTAGAAAAACATTTAATGATCTAAGAAAATGTTCTCTAGAAACTTTTTTAAAGTGAAATACCAGATGGTTTAACTCAAAGCAGGAGCATAAGGGGTCAGGGAAAAAAATAGCAATTGTAATAAAGAAAAAACAAAATCAACAATAACTGTAAGCCAGAGACCTTCTATAGGTTGAAGAGGGGAACAGGATCAAAACTGGGGTGGGAAGAGCACATGGGACTGTGGTGATGGCACATGGGTGAACTGGTGGGGGGGAAGTCTGTGAGGATTGCAACTGAGATGACAAAATGTACAAAATGAAAAATGATATAAAAAATAATAATAAATACATAAAAAAGAAACTTTTTAAAAATAGGTTGCAAAGCTATATGCAAATTATGTTAGAAGTATTTGTTTCAAAATAAAACAATGACTAAGGATATACACAAAGAAGTTGTTCTAATGATGAAATGATGTGTAACTTTTTTATTTTCTTTATTGTTCAACAGCATTATTTTGCTGTAAGTAAATATTGCTCAAGGTATGAGTGTAAAAAAACCAAATGCACCAGTATCCCTTGAGAGCTAGTTGGAACACAGAATCTCAGCCCCCAGCCCTGACCTGCTGCATGAGAATTTGCATTTTACATGATTTCCAGGTGATCTGGACCCACATTACAGCTTGAAGAGCATGTGTGCCTATGATGCAACCTAAGAGAAGTAACCATTTTAATTTTTAAAAGCTCCAGACTGTGATACCTATGTGCTCGCTGCTTTTTGGAAGGTGACTTTGATGTAAAGCATAAGCTATTCTTTTTCGTTAACTTTTTTATTTTCTTGCATCATAGATCATTTTTGTATTAAAATCGGAGGGACAAGCACAAGAGGTTTTGGGGGTGGTTCACAGGTGAGGAGGTGGTGGGAATAAACAGGGACTGTTCCTGAGCGGAGAGATCAAATATTGTGTAAGTTATTCTTACCTTCCAAAATTTTCTGGAAATGGCTTAAGATGTTCACATTTTTCATTACAACAATGGGACAGGGCGCAGTGACAAGTCCCTCTGTCTCTGCTCCCTCCCCCAGCCATGGAGCCACAAAGCCCAACTCTGAGATTCTGCCTGAGGTAGAGAAATATAGATTCCTCAAGAGCTGCTATTCAAGCCATAAGCAGCATGTGCCAACGTCCCCTCCACCGCAATCCTGGGTCAGTCTCCATTAAGCTGCACATCTGGCTGTCACACACTCTTTTGTGGAGCCTTCTCAATGGCAGCACTGATGCCGCCTCTCCCCGGGGCCAGCCCCACAGTGGCCTCCCTGTCCTCCAGCATGTGATGTCATGAGCATGAATGTCCTGCCAAACATTTAAGATGTCGCACTTCACATTGTGTACATTGTATAAAGAAACACTGACAGGCAGATTTGAAAAAAAAACAGCAAGATACAACCAAACCTTGTTCTGTTGTTAGCCCAAACCACCCATCAGCACAAATACATAACTTGTATTCTTTATACAATTTCTCTCTCTCTCTCTCTGTTGTTGTTGTTGTTGCTGCTGTCATTGTAAGAAGCATCTCTAGATTCAGAAATTTCCTTGAAAATGCTTTCTTTAGTTTGGGTTCTATCAAGTTCTTGGAAAGCATGAGCTGAACAGGTTCATTTCAAATCAGAAGTACCCGGCATGTGACCTCTTCAGACCCAATAGTGAAAGGAAAATTGATGTAACTAACGCTCAAAGTCATCTATCCCCTGAGGGTCACAGAGAAGGAATGAGGGAAATCTGCTGAGCTGCAGAAAGCAGGAGACAGGCTCTTCCTTCCCTGTTTCCCAAAGTGTCATTGGAATCTTTGAGGGGTTCCTAATGAAAAAAGCGGATTTTTGGATACTGATTCCAACGCACTGAATCAGTCTCTGGAAGTGAAGAGAGAAAATCTGCATTTTACCTGACATAGCAGTCATTCTATATTTGAGAACAATAACTTTGGAGTTCTACTTCGACTCGATTTTAGTGCAATGCAGGGACTCTCTTAACAAAGACTGCAAGCTCTCTGCATCTCATCTTCCTCCTCTATACAATGGGAGATTTGGATAGGATGACACGTGTGAAGTTCCCGGCACAAGCATGACTTCTCTATTATTAAAGCAGAACACTTTGCATATGTCATTTCATCTGTGATTGGGCAGGGGGGGGTAATCATTGTGTTCCCCCAGGTGACAACTGCTCAACTGTTATCACTGTAATGACCAAGTTGTAATGGAGCACTAATGAAAGCAGATAAAATCATCAGACTGAGTCCTTCTTATGATTACTGAGGCAGAACCTGTTTTCCTATAGCTGTTTCCAATCTAGTGGCCATTTACACGACTTTGCCAGTGAGCCCCTGAACTATGGCTCATAGAAAATGATTTACATGGTAGGTGTAAAACACACTGGAATCCAAAGACTTAATAAAAAGAAAGATCTAAAATATTAGTAATTGATTTCATATTGAAATGAGACGATAGTCAACCTCCCATGTCTTCAGTTGCACATCTATGAATTCAACCAACTAAGGACTAAAAATACATAGTAGGTAGTAGTCAGACCTGCCATGGCTGCAGCTGGACTGGACATGAACAGATTTTTGCTTTTCATTATTTCCTAGAGATACAAGATAGAGAGTATTGACATAGTATGCACATTGCATTAGGTATCTAAGTAACCTAAAGATGATTTAGAGTATACAGGAGGATGTGTGTAGGTTACGTGCAAATACTGTGCCATCAGTATTTGGGCATATAATATCAGGGATTGGGCATCCTTGAGTTTTGGTATCTGCAAGAGGTCCTGGGATCAATGCCTTGAGCTACAGAGGGATAATTATATTTCAGATGGATTGAGTTTAAATAGAGCATTAAAATTAATTTCATTTGTTTATTTTTTAATTTTGCTCCTCAAAATTTTTAACTACATGTATGATTCTTACTATATTTTTACCTAATAGTCCTTTTCTAGTGGAACAGCAACCCCTCTCTCCCCCTATCAATCTGATGATAAAACCTAATAATGGAGTTAAAACCTACAAGATCACAGTTCCTAATGATTATTACATGGGCAATAATGAGCCAGGGAAAACCTGAGATGTCTCTGCTGCTACAGGGAAAAGTGGGGGGTCAAGTAGCATGCCCCATCACATGAGGCAGGAAGCAGCAAGCGACAAGAAAGGAGGAGGGCAAGTGGACACATACCTCCTTAAGGCAGAAGAGGACAAACTGACACTTGATTCAAGTCCATGGTTGTATGAAAAGAGGTGACAGAGACCTACAGCTTTACTTGCCTCCCACCCCCTTGCCTCTTGTTCCACCCATGTACACAATTGTTAACAGTCTGATAACTTTTGATGAGTTAGGGAGGGAGCACTAATACAATCACATGACCTGTGCCCTTCCAAAAACTAGCAAATATTTTGGTCAACATAAAGATTGTCTCTTCTTGTGTAAGCAATTCAGAAATAGTTTCCACTAGGTTACAATCTCCTAATGTACACAAATATTTCTAACAATGACTAGCCCGAATGGATCTTTCCAAAGAGGAAATGTTTGGCAATTATTATACAAGCGGCTAGCAAAATTAGTATTTTTGGAAAAATACTGACAAAACAGGTTACAGCCTTTTTTTAGAGTACTCTAAATTGATAATTTCTAGAATAGAAAACAAACAAAAATCAACTCAAAGTGTCTTTTCCAAAATTTCTAAACATCTACATATATGTTAGAATAAAATGCATTTAGATGTTACTACTTAACGACCCAATAAAAAGTGCTTTATACTTCTGCTATACCCAACCAATACCTTTACTAAGAGTTCAAGGTAGACAAAAGAGTTTTTCACACTTGGCTTCTGTTGGCTGACCATGCATCTCTGACACCAAAATTCTATCATGTCACTCAGCTAGAAACCTACAGGGCATTTGTTATACCTTTATCACACACATAACCAACACAGCATAGTGAATAAAATATAACATTTTAATAATTCAGGGTAGTGCAGAATGACCTGTTCCTGAGTAACAGATCAGTTTCCCTATAAATTACTAGTAAGGATTAGCAAGTTAGACACTTCGGGATCCAACAGAATATTAAAGACCAGTTTTGCAGACAGTCTGTTATTTTATTGCACAGATCTCACTTAAAGAACAAAATGCACCATCAGTGTTTGAAGAGTTTGGGGTCTCAGATACTGATACATTATCAGTTTTTACACCCGTAAAGCCAAATTCAACAGTACAATTTATGTTAAGCAATAGCACTTCAAGATCCCTAACAGAATGAAAACAGAGAGAGGAGAAAAGCTTTGAAATATGTTAAATTGAAGTTACATGTAACTCAGATTAAACACTACATCTGGAATTCAAGAATGTTCTGTGGAGTGTAGGTTAGAGTTATACTCACTTGTACTGTTATTTATCATATAATTAAAGTCTATTTGGTTCATTTCCTTCATACTGATGAATTGAGAATTTCAGGAAAACCGTGGTCATAAAAATGATCAATCTTGACAAAAAGTATGTACAGAAAATGTAAAATCACAAACTAAAAAATATCCCCACCCCTTGTCCTCAACTTAGAAAAGGGAAACTTTCCCATAGAGGGATTCCCGGCCCTCACCCACCCTGCCCCATTCTATCTTTTTCTATTGCTTATAACTAAAGGACCTTGGAGCTGAAGAGGAGGGGGAACAGAGAGGCATCTTTGTGAGATTCCCATTGTCATCTGTAACAGTTTGAAAGTGTCTTTTATTCTCTTCCCCACACCCAACTCAGCAATGTTTGCAAAATATTTAAAATTTAAGAGAGAGAAACATGGACATACTTTATGTACGTATTGTAATGAGTAATGAAGAGGTTGCCCAAGGAAAGAGCTAATAGTGGGCAAGACCATGAGAAAAAATGTGTGGGCATTTTCTGACCTAAAGATTTCTTTTAAGGCAACAAAAGCGAAGGGGGTGTTAAGACTACAAAATGCCAGACAGGATGCCTGACTGAACCTCTGGCTTTGGAGCCTGGCTAAGGACTGAGTGGGCTTCCCCCTTGGGCAAGCAAACCTAGGGCCCAGGACCCAGCATCTACAGCACCTCCGTGGGCAGGCCGGCAGCTCTCTTATACGTGGGCGCTCTTGGCATGAGTAGGGGAGCTGGAGCCCGACGAGTAGTAGAAACGGTTTTCGCCAAACGACTGGGCGTCTCCGGAACAGCAGACGATGACACAGCCACCCACGAGGCACATTACCGCACCAATCCAGCCTGCGTACAGGGAGTAGCCAAAGCTCACGATGGTGGTCTCACGGTGGGCGCACACAGGGAACCAGATGGTCGCAACGATGGCGCACAGAGCTGGGAAGACAGGAAGAGCGCTGTGACTGGGCTCCTCCACCCCACCCACACCTGAAAGCGTTGCAGGCAGGAGTCCTTCCTCTTTATTGCTCTGGCTTCTCAACCTTCTCTGGTTTCCAATCAGTTCCAAAAACTCATCACACACAGCTCTGCTCCCTTGATAATCTGAACCCCAAAGGTTTGCATCTACTGAATGTGATGATCAAGAGCTTGCATCTAATTGCAAGGTTCTTATTTTTTCAACAGGGGGCAAAAAGGACTCCAACGTAAAAACCTGGAAATAAAACGTTAAACTCCAAAGACTATTTTTGTATTTGTTTATACATCTTGACTTAGTTATAAGTTTATTACAACTTACCTGATATATTATAATTATCTCTATATATATCTACTTCACATTCCAAGTTCTAAGTTCCTTGAAGCCAGGGGCCATATTTTACTTTTTGTAAAAGAAGTGGTTAGCTCAGTGCAAAGCACATGGGCTGTGCTCAGAATATTCTAGTTGAATAACTGAATAATCTGAGTTATTCAGAAATGAAAGACAAGATGGTTCCCACTTCAATTTTCCACTCCATTTTTTTCAATTAGGTTAATTCATATTACAAAGACCTGAAGAAGCTATAAAAACACTTACTTGTAGTGACTCTTGTAGTGGAGTCTCAGCTAAGAGTTTATTTGTGTTATACAAAAGCTCAACACAGAGATGAAGAATTCTTGGTATAAAAGGATTTAAGCTTTCCAGGATTTTATGGTGATGATATTTGTTGTGATCAGCCACAATGGTTGAAGTTTATCTTCTTGTATCCACCTATCTAGCTTTCAGATTTGATTTTGATTTTAAAGAATAGATAAAAAATAGCATCTATATCATTAGCTCTTCCCTTCCTCTTAACTCAAATAACAAAACAAGAGTAGGAAAGAATATTAAAGCTTAAAATTTTTTATTCTAGATCAGTATTTTCAAATAAGGTAGATACAAGGTACAGGGATGATTAATTCTTTCTCATGAGGCCAGAGGCACCAAAAAGTTCAGTTTTGAATTTTAACTATTCTGCATTTAAATGGCCACATGTGGATATTGTAGTGAACAAACACAGCTTTAAACAAAATAACTCCATAATTTTCTTTGATGTCATCTGATTTCTCACCTCTATAAGCAGGACAGAAATTTTAAAGTTTTACTTGAAATGACACATCAAAGTTGACAGATTTTTTTTAATGAGGTTTTCAATAATTAGCCATAAATTCTTCAACAAATTCAAGAAAGGGCATTATAAAGCCAGTGTGTTGTTTGCTACCTGGGGGATCCTTGTCACTTTCAACTCAGCAAGCTTTTTTTGATTTCTATTCTCACTGAGTGCTTTTTCTAATTTACCTTTCTGCCCACAGAGAAGTACAATTTTTCTTCAACATAAGCATTAACTTTTATATTTTCACTTACTTGGTATTCATATATCAAACACACACACACAACCACACACATAAAAATAGACTCCGTATTTCATGTAAACCTAACTTTCAGATCTGGTCTAAGTTTTATGGACTAAATTAAGAATATGCCCTTCATTTCATTTCATTCTTCTCTGTTGCCTAAATATTATAGTAAAAAAAAAAAAAAAAAAGATGATCTTCACACAGGAGAAAAATCAGACTAACAATCAGGCTTGACTTTGAAAGTTTTAGGGATTTGGTTTTATTTTACTCCAATATATTTCACTGGAAAGGGGGAAAATCAGAAAAACATTTAAATAATAAACCCATAGGACTAAATGAGTGAAGAGGTAGAAGGGTGAATAGATAGATAAATGGATGACAAAGTGGACTTACTTTAAGTGTTTTTTCCACTTCACACCCATCAAAACTGACTTTTAGAAGCATAAAACCTTAAGGAGACTTTCGCACACTTCAAGTCACAAGCTCGTGATTTACCTCATTAAAGATTTCCTTCGTTTATAGCCCATGCAAAACAAGACAAATGAGCACCAGCAGGCTCTTTATTTCCCAGCAGATAAATGCAATCTGGGTGGAATTCCTGTGGTTCTCAAAGATGAAGCCCATCAAAACCACTAGAAGATGACAGACCAGCACAACGTGAAGGGAAATGAGAGGCCCCCTGGACTCAACGACCTTCGATTGAACTCACAGGACAAACGTTTAAAACTAAAAAAGGAGTTTTCATTCAATTTCTGCAAGGATTTGAGGAGAAAAGGAGATCAGTTTTACTCAGTAAAGTTAAGTAAATGTAAGTTAAACTAATTAGCTGACAAAAAAATATGAACTATGAATAGAACTGACTATGATTTTTAGCTTCCTTAAAAACATAGAAGGCTTACTAGATTTATTTCTGTTTGTAGTCATATACAAAAGATTTTGTGGTGGTTCTTGCTCTTATTTGACGGAAAAATATGTTTTTCAAAAAACATAGCACAGTTATCTATGAGGACACAGGAAGATAAAGAGAATTTTCATTGCTTTTCTTTTTATGTCATCAGAATTAATTTTGAAATTAAGTTTATAAATAATACAGGGAAATTTCAATACTCACAATCTGTTCCCCTTCTTGTACCTTCAGAAGATGCAAAATTTAACTGCATGCTGTTGGGGGCTGGGTGAGGGAGTAAGAAAAAAGAAGGCAGGAAAGGAAGAAGCAAGCTTCACTGTGTAGATTAATCTGGGTTTAGCTGACTCTCTCACAAACAAAACTTTAGCTGTTCATAGAATAAGAAGTTTTAAATAATACTCAGTTTTAAATAATTTCTGACAACATAATCTTTAGGTTATAAAATACACCCTTATTAAAAGCTAACAGTAATCTTGGTATAGACAGACACAGAAAATATTTGAAAGACAGTTTTAAATCTGGAGATGTAGTTGTTACTTTTAATCTCTTTTGGGATTAAATGCTACATGGTAATGTAAAGAATTAAATTAATATGATGAAGTTGAATAAAATTGGTACAGGTGTGTTTGTCTTTAGAGGTAACAACTTAAAAAAAGGCAAAGTGGCAGAGAAAGACAGAAGAGCACCAAACTGCTATTTCTTCCTTCATGTACTGAAAATTGTTTGCTTGCATTAAGCACTGAAAGGACTTCTAAAATCATCACTTCTAGCACAAATCAACATTTTCATTAAAAGCACCTAAATTTCAGGTCCTCCATAGTGGTGCAACGGGTTAAAGCACAGCACTAAGAAACTAAAGTCACTTCAGCATGAGTTCAGTCCCCGATCCCCGCCTGCCCCGGAGGTGACCCACAAGGCGTGGCAGACCTCTCCTGACCCGCCTCCCTCATCAGTGTACTTGGACAATCTGCCTGTTCTGCTCCCCACTCTGTCTCTGGTAATGTCTCTCACCACACCTGCACCTCTGGCCCTGTACCCCAGTTCTGTATGCATAAATAAATTTTTTTTTAAAAAAAAAAAAAGCACCTAAATTTCTCTGATGTATTTGTAATAACAGAAGAAATCTTGATGGCAGTCTATCCGGAAAAACTGCTTCCCAAAAACTGAACTGGAAGAAAGGAAGGGTATTAGCCAAGAGTTGATTAATAATGAGAATGAGTTTCTTTCCGGTTTTTTTGTGTCTGTTTGAAATTTTCCATAACCAAATTTTTTTTTAAAAATCCCTTGCTTAACGCCTTGCGGGGTGGCTAGGGGACGGAGAAAAAAAGTACAACACAAAAGTCTGCCATGATTACAGCAAGGGTGAGCAGAGACTCCAAGAAGCTCATTCAGACACCTCACAAAGCAGGACCCTGGAAAACCCGACACGCGCCAAAAAAAAAAAAAAAAAAAATACCTGGCTTAACATTGTGCAACACCCTGAACACTGTCTTCTCAATGGATGTTATTATTATACATGATCTAAATAACAATTAGCTTTAGGTTTCCTCAAAGAAGTTAGTTAACTCAAGGCAGCCAGTAATAGATTTCAAACAAGCTGTCATATTTAATTGTTGTTTTCTTATCATTTGAAACTAGATATAAAGTTTTCTTTTTTTCATTTGTTGTTCTCTAAAATATTGACCTAAGGAAAAATAGCAGCCAGAGGAATACTCCCTTATGCCAGCAATATCTGTTACATTCTAATATTCACAACAATCATCAAGTCAATGGAATATTTAAGGACATTATTTTCCTGGCCTTCTTTCAATTTTTTGCCCTTTCATTTCTATACCACACACACACATATCTTGTTTTACTAAAAACTTTCTGAAAACCAAGTTTATTTCACTTAGGAAGAAAGGTGTATTTTCTTTCCTTCTATTTTTTGCTGCATCTCCCCAAGAAATACCCGCAAAAAAAGCATTAACTCGTAGCCAAGGTGAGAATTAGAGAGAATCAGAACTAAGCCTCAGAATTTCTTGGGTAGCTTAACATGGCTTTTTAAAAATGGAATAAAAAAATGAACAATTGATCCATACCCTCTGGTGTCCACAAAGAAAACAAAGGGAGTATTTCTGCTAGATCAGGATGCGAGCTGATATTTCCAGGCAATGCCCACCGTTGCTCCAGCGCCTTGCATGGAGGTGACCCTAGGCTTTAGACATGATGGAAAAAATACCCACAGCTTCCTTCTGGTTTGGTCACTATTTCCTCCGGCCAACAATAGCACTATGTGCAAGACACCATGATAATGAGTTGAGCATATCATTTTGCTATTCTAACCAACCTCAGAAGCAGGCTCATTATCCCCATCGTAGAAAGGCACAGAAACATTAAATAACAGCCGCAGTTCGCACAGCTAGAATGAGTAGATCTGAGATTTAGTTCTGTTGGTCTGATGCCAAATGATAAGATAAAGCAACTCAGGGAATAGGTACCTCCTGCCTGACAAAGCCACAAGATTAAACTTGCCTCAGATCTGGGCCTGCAGCATCTTGAGCTTCTCATCTGGCTTAAGAAAGAGCAGGACCAGGTTCCCTTTCCCTCCTGCACAGCAGGAACCAAATCCTCACACCATTAAACTTGAACTGCTGAGCAGATAAACTACAAGACATCATTTTTTAAGATTTCAGTAAAGTAAAAATTTTTCAGGGTCAGAAAGGACTTTAGTCAATAGTGCTTAGTGTCCACAGCAGAATTAGCTTTGACACTCCCCAGGCCCCCAGTGTCGCCTGGTCCCTCTGGTCAGCGTCCACACCTCACCACTCAGTGACCCAGCACCCAGCGCAAGCCCAGCACGGGCTTCTCCCAGGAGAGCTACAAAAAACCAATCCTGACCAGCACAAAGCCAGGAGAGCTACAAAAAATCAATCCTGACCAACACAAAGCCAGCCTTCACTCTCTCTAGCTCCCTGCTCCCAACTGCTGACAGGGAAACTAGGTATTAAGGGCTCAGTAGGGAGCCCTAGAGGAGACCAGCAGGTACCCCATTTAAAACAATGAGCTTTACATTTCTTGTTTTCTAGAGCTGGCTCGTTCCAGTCAAAACAATGTCCAACCCAAAGGCAAATGACCCACTGAGAAATAAACCCAGCACAGGAGTCAGCCAAGAGATAGCAGGAAACACTGGAAATACAGGCTGTGAGGGGGCCAGGAGTGATGCCTGGGTCCCATCCAAATGGCAAGTGGCCAGAAAGGTGCAGCCCCCCTGGGGGACAGGGGTCAAAGCCTCCAGTGTCCCCTCCCATCAGTTCACTCCAAGCAGCAGGGACTGGGGCCACACCCATGACCTGCCCACCTCACCTTCCTCTCTAGAGCTTTGCCTACATCCACCAACCCACTTTTAAAATAAAGAAAAACTTTATTTAAATCAGCTAGGAAATTTCAGTCAACGGGTTGCTATTTTGATAGCAATTATTAAAAATTATTCAAATGATTATTCAGTTGTTTTTACGGGGGGGGGGTTAATACATACATATACATCTGTGCACTCTTAATTTTTGTATCACTGTTTTCCATTAGTTTAGCTTTGTTTCTTTTTAACTGCTCTCATACTAGGATCCCCCATCAGGTGTCACCACCACAGAGCACCCACTGCCAAATCACCCACCCTCCACCACACTAGTCCATTGTGCTTCCTTCCCTCTTGTTTTTAATGTATCCTCTTACTTGCAGATATTCTGTGACTTTCATGTGAAGGAAGGTCAGCACCTGTGACACAACAGAGCAGTGTCTCCTCACTGCTATCAGTGCATTTTGCAACAAGTTCTTAAAATTTGTGTCACTATTAGGATTGAGAATGTGCTTACAGAATTAGCATTTAAGAAATGGGTCAAGAAAAATGAAACCACTGAAGGGAGCTGGGTGAGTGAGATGCCCCCTTCCTGGGTTGTTAAAATGAAGCCACTGAGTGCGATATGGTCAGAAAACTGAACAAGGACATGCCATTTCCTTGGCCTCCTCTGCCTCCCACCTGCATGCCTCCCACCTGACCACCTTCTCTTCAACTCTCAAAGCTCACCGTGGAGGTCCTTGGCTCTGGGAAACCCCCAGAGGGTTGGACGACTCCACACATGTGTGCATGGCCTGTGCATGGCCTGAGCACGGCTGGGCACCTTTGGTAGGTGAGCACACCCACACCAGCAGGACGCCCATGTATGTACACCCAACACAGCCTGCCTTTTCCCCCACTACGCCCTGTGGCTACGAGGAGACCTGCTGTGAGCAGGCCCTCAATGAATGCTTACTGAGCAACAGCCCAAATCACCGCCTAGTGATCTACTGCTCTCAACCTCTCACTTTTGTCTTTCTTGATAGTTCACTGAAGTCCTCAGTCCTGACTGCGTGAAAGAGTCAGTTGGAAAGATTTCAAAAAATATTGCCCAGCCTGAGGCCCAGGAACTCTGACTCCACCACCTGCGGTGAGGCCTGGCTTAGGGGGTTCAAAAAGGAATTCTACTGTGAAGTCTGACAGTCACCGTGTAACTCCTGTGGTTGCTCCCTTAGACATTTCCCACCCTCAAAATCCTTTTTCTGTTTTTAAACTTATTTTCATGTTCAGTGATTCCCCACAGACATGAGTTACCCCTGTGTGTGGAATGTCAAGGAAGCATAAAGGGATAACGCGTGCTGTGGTGGACTGATAGACTTTCTTTCAAATGACTTTTGAGTATGAGCACAGATTCCTCAGGTTCAACCAGAGTGGGGGGCGCTGTAGAAAACACGTCTTACCCAACAGAATGAGCATAACACCCGCCAGCTGGGCCCGCCGGTACTTGGCCACGCCGGGCTCATGACCCATTCGGATGCAGGGGAGAACCGTCAGCAGCAGGAGAATGGCGGGCAGACCCAAGACAGAGGCTGCGATCATCAGGGCCCGGCAAGCCTGCACATAGCCTGGCGGAGAGAGCAGAGGAGGAAAGTTAGGCTGTGGGTCTCCTTGGAGCCCAGCCCCAGGGGAAGTCAGCACCATCTGCCCTCCTGCTCTTACCCCATTCCAGAACTTAGAATGTATTGAATGTTGTCCAAGATCATTTCTCAGAGTCAACATTTTTTTAATTAATTTATTTATCCTCTTATATCTTTGTTCATTTTTGGACAGTATTTGATTTCTCTCTTCAGATGTAGTCGCCATAGTCCTCCCACCACCGTGGCACCCATGAACAAGCACCATAATCCCTGCGTTCTTCTCTCCCTGTTTTGAGCGCTCTCTCTCCCGCTTCCCTGCTGTATGTCTCAGATCGATAGTCAACTTGTAAGTTTTGTCTTTTTCCTGACCTTTGTTTCTTTATACTCCACATCAAATGACTCCATCCAACATTTATCTTCTCCTTCTGACTTATTTCACTGAGCATCATCCCCCCCAACTCCAACCCTGTTGCTGCAAATGATATGAGTTAGTCTTTTTTGATCACTGAGTAGTATTCCATCATGTGTATATACGATGTCTTCTTGATTCGTTCATGTTTTGCCACATTGGGTTCTTGCCATACTTTAGCCACTATAAATAGTGCTGCAATCTAAATAGAACACTGGTTTCCTTTTGAATTAGTGTTTTTGTGTCCTCTGGGTAGATTCCTAGTAGTAAAATTACTGGGTCATATGATAAATCCATTTTTAGTGTTTTAAGGAACTTCCACACAGCTTTCCATAGTGGCTGAGCCATTTTACATTCCCAGCAGCAGTGTGGTCAGCTTTTAGGGTGACTCAGTGACCAAAAAAAGGAGGATGAGGGCTGGAGAAAGAATGGGGATCCCTGATTTAAACCACTAGACCAAACATCCAGGATGGCAGGGCTAAGAGCCCAGTTACAGTATTACCTCACTTTGTGAAAGATTCAGCTTAGAACTCAATCTCCCAGGAAGTCTTCTGAAATGGCGCTAGTGTGCTGTGGAGATGCTAGACCTATGTGACCTAGGTACTGAATTGCTATATATTGGCATTTTCTTCTATGGGGTGAAAGTATGACATCTCTCAGAACCCAGTGAGGTGAGTTAATCATGCAGTACCTAGAGAATGTCCAGCACATGCTACTAGTTATTATTATTAGTGTCATTACTCTGTCAGTGCAGTACTGACAGAGGTATACTAGTTAATTTTCTGCAGGTATACTAGTTAATTTTCTTCCTAAGCATGTGCTTTCAACTCACATTGTATATAAGTAGTGTGTGGTCATTGCTAGACTAAGCTACAACTCATGCTTCTTCCCAGATCCCTCCGCGGAGACTGCTGTTCTCATGAATCCAGGGCCCTGCAGATTATCAGGCCCCATCTCTGGTCTTCCCCACAGTATCCCAGGCACTTTCCCAGCCTTCAAGCCTTCAGTCATCCCTCCAGACCCAGGGATTTCTGGAAGGCAGACTCCTGCCTCTTCATGGAGTCAATAGTGCCCACAACAGAGGATATAAGTATACAATTACAAATAAGGGAGGGAATGAGTTGAATAACAAGAGTGGAGCAAAACTATTTTAATTTTTTGCTGTCAAAATCCCAAGGAACAACTTTGGCACAACCTCGGCACAAAATGTGCATATTTATATAAAGTTTATCTGAGAATATAGAGGAAATGAAAGACTTAAATGTACCATTTCTCATTAAAACACTCCCCTCCACCAAAATAAAGGCTGTTTATTACTTTCCCTGTTTTGCTCAACAGGAATGAGAGCTGGTGACCTGAGGGAGAGAGGGGTAACGGCAGAGCAAAACGAACCTCAATTTCAGCCTCACAGCCAGGACCCTCTTACCAAGTCCAGTCAGCCTGCCTTGCGCACCAGGATCCAATAACACTGACTCTGAGCCAGAATGCAGAGCCACAAGAAAACACTGCTCGTCTCAGTTTCTTCCGAATTAACAACAATTAGGTCTGTGGTCAGAGGTCCTTCCTCCAGTTTCCTGTAGCTCTTTTAAAGTGACTCAGTGACCACAGACCTAAGGCCCTATGTGTTGCAGGTGAGCCAAACTGACACCGAAGAGTCAACTAGCAACCAAGGTCCTGAAATTCATGGCACAGGCTGTCTCCACACGAGGTGCCACATCTGGAAATCAAAAGATGGAGACTGAGATCTGTCCCTTTGCCCACACAAAGTGAGAGGGAGGGAAAGAGCAGGAAGGACTACACTCTCCCCATAATGTACTCCATCTGTCTGGATGGTCTGCGTTCTCTGAAAACAAACCACTTGGCACTGAACAATCAGTAAACTTAATTTCAGGGGCATGAAGTAGAGAGTAATTCTATGCTTTACTTAAAGGTTCCTACAAATACTATCTATACCCAGCTTTTAATTAAAAACTCCAAGGTGCCTATTGTGGAGCATCTACTACATAAGAGGAGGCTTATGCTTTTTATCTCATTTAATCCCCAAAACAAAGCTGATGGATAGACGGTTTATTTTAACTTCTAAAAGGTAACCACTAGCTTCCAGAGCCCCGCCCAGGCCTAACAACACCAGCACTACCTGTGGCTGGGCCTGGACACAGCTCCCAGGACTTCTGTCATCCTGAAAGTCCAGTGTGAAGAAAAGGCTGGTGGCCAGCAGGCCTAACACACTCTGCACATCTGCTGTGTGCCAGTGGCCATGCGAGACCAAGAGAGGATGCAAGGAGCCAAGAACCATCTATATTGTCAAGGAATTTACAAGGTTGTAGGAGAACTGAACTCACAATGAATAAAAAAGAAGATCAGATGTGGCCTGATGGAGATAAAAAACAAATACCAGGGAAGCAAGCAGAAAAGGGGGATTGACTGGGGCTGAAAAGAGGCACATGAGAGGAGGTTTAAAGACAGAACAGGGCCGCTGGGAGCAAAAGACATCTTTGGGGAGAAAAAACAAAGTTAATTACTCTACTTGCTAAGAAACTAAGTTTAAATGTACAGACCCTGCTAAGGTTAGCAGGCCAAAAGACAAAGGAGAATAGGGAGGGACAAGAGTAAATTACAACAGTCAGGATATCCCAAGAAGAAACCCAGTGGGTGCCCACTACCTTCCCAATTGCTGAACTTGCTCAAAGTTTAAATTGGAATTGAAAGGGTTGAACAAAATTCTTAAACACACCAGCAAGTAAAATGGGGGCCCTGGCCTGCACCAGGGGCAATGGAGCTAGTCAATTCTCCTCTCCCACTGAGGACAGCTGGGGGTGAGGGGATGGGAGTTGTGGCTTGTGAGCATGGCTCAGAGCAGGGCCTGTTCTTCCCCCATCCAACCCAGGCAGTTGAGAGACAGCGAAAGGTGGGAGTGAGCAGTCATGGTAGTCCAGAGCACAGCAGGGCAAGAGGTCGGGGGAGAAAGGCCCTGGGTCAGTCCAAATGGATCTGGAGGAGCTAGAAGATTCTAGAAAGGTCCTCACTTCTTCAGAGTACAACATTTGACCCACTAAGACCATTAAACTTCTGTTTCTCTCTGTTCTCCTCAGTGTGTGTAAGGAAAGTAGGATGTCTGAGGGGAAGGCCCTGGTGGAGGTATGAATTAGCTCAGGTCAGGGGAGGTGGGAGCACCCCGGAGTTCCTCCTTCCAGGAGTCACTATCTCAGTTCATTAACTTCTCTGTGTGACTAGGCCCATGACCACCACTATCATCCCAAATTCTAGATAAGAAAACTGAGGCTGGGCCTTCCCTGGTGGCACAGCGGGTTAAAGCACAGTACTAAGAAACTAAAGCCACCCCAGCATGAGCTCAATCCCCGCCTGCCGGGGAGGTGATCCACATGGGGTGGCAGACCTCTCCTAACCTGCCTGCTGCTCCCCTCAGCAGTGTACTTCATCAGTGGGCCTATTCTGCTCCCCTCTGTTTCTGGTGAAGCCTCTCACTGCCCTTGCAACTCTGGCCTGTGCCCTAGTTCTGTATGCATAAATAAATAAATCTTTAAAAAAAAAAAAAAGAAAGAAAGAAAGAAAGAAAGAAAAGAAAACTGAGGGTTACAGAAGTTCAATTTGGGAATTTCGGGTTGCCTGGTTCATCTGCAACAAGGTGGCACTGAAAATGTCAGACACTGTGCCCCAAGATCTTCAAGTCCCCTGCAAATGTTTCCTTGAACATCACCTAATGCTCCACTCCCCTAATCTGCCCAGAAGCCTAGGATGCAAGACCCGACATTTACCGTACAAAGGTCCTTACCTGGCAGGATAAGGATGTCCACCAGGGGCTTGCAGTGGTACAGCCCCGTGGCCATGACGCAGTCGGCCCACAGCCCCTTGGAGCCCAACTCATCCAGTTTGCGGCAGGTGGGGATGGTGTAGCCACAGGTCACCACCCAGTCATTGGTGGACGTGGTGACAATGATGCCGATCCAACCCACGAAGCTCGTGACGAAGCCCACCACCTGTAAGCACGTGGCCACCATGGTGGCCAGCTCGGGACCCTGCACCTCACCCCTCACTAACTGTTTGTACCGGGGGCTGGACCGTGCCTGCCCTCGTCCTCACTCTTGCGCGCCCGCGAGCCGCTGGCCGACGAGGCCCGAGGGGGCAGCAGGACGCTAGAGGCTGTGACCCCAGAGCGGAGGGTGGAGGGTGCGACAGGCGAATGGCAGTCACTGCGACCAGCGCGCTCCAGGACAGCAGCACGGCTGGGCAGCGCGCCCCCCGCCCCCCTCTTTAAACTCCGTAGCGCCGCGGGCGAGCGCCAATCCGCAGCCGCCGGGAGTTGAGTCGACCAATGGCAGGCCGGGTCCCGAGTGGGGTGCGGAGGGGAGCGGAGCAAAGGAGGGGTCGTTCGGCAGCCAGTTCGGGCAGGCAGCGTTGAAAAGTAAAGTCATTCGATCCAGGTCCGAGAAATGGAGAGTGCCAGGAGACTGCACCGTCCCGCACACGTTCAATTTTGCTATTTGTTGTGAATTCTTGTATTGCTCTTCGTACTGGCCTCTCTCATCTGTCCGTTTCTCTCCATCCCTCCACGACTTTCCCCACCCGCACCCACCTCCTGCGCAGCTTAGAGCTCTGACCGCGGTAGCCTCCGCAAGGCAGCTGTGCACCACGGCCCAGGCTTGTAACTGATGGACTGAGAAATGCCCTAAGGGACAGATGCGAGCATTCAGCGTACCCTGGTGCTAATGGAAAGAAAATGACTCTTAAATTCAAAAGGTCCTCAGGGGCAGCCACGACGATAATAAAGGTGAAGACAGTAGCAACTCACCTTTTATACCACACGCTATGGATATTCATTTATATTCTCTGTTATATCTCACTTTATGCTCATAACAGCCCTTTGTGGTAGAAATGATTAGTAACATCATAAGGCATGAAGAAACAGCATAAGGGACTCCCTGGTGGTGGAGACACAGGGGTTACAGTCTCAGTGCCTGTGCCAGCCACTGCAGCATGAGATCAATCCCCACCAGGGAGGTGACCCACGTGGCACAGCAGATCTCTCCTGACACACCCGCTGCTCCCCTCAGCAGTGTATTTTGTAGACCTGCCAGTTCTGCTCCCCACTCTGTCTCTGGTGAATCCTCTCACTGCCCCTGCACCTCTGGTCTGTACCCCAATTCTATGTACATGAAAGAAAGACACAGAATGAAAGAAACCAAGTACACAAACAGAAAAACTTTCTGTAATAGATGACGAAATGTCAAGTGCAATGTCACCAGCTGACATTCAATAATGAGCAAGTGAAGAGCACAAGCCTATGTGGCTTAAAATCCAGGTTCCACCAGTTACTATGGGACCAAATAACTTCACTTTCCTGAGGTAATAATTGTTTTTTGCCTGCATTTTACACGTTTGATTTATGGACATTCTTTTTTTTAAACAGATCTATTTATTTATGCATACAGAACTGGGGTACAGGCCAGAAGTGCAAGGGTGGTGAGAGGCTTCACCAGAGACAGAGTGGGGAGCAGAACAGGCAGATCGACAAAGTACAATGCTGAGGGGAGCAGCCTGTTGGAGAGGTCTGCTTTACCATGTGGAACACCTCTGGGGCTGGAGAATCAAACTGTGCAGAAGGTGGCTGCAGCAAGCTTGCTGTGCTGTGATTTTAACCCATTACACCACCAGGGAGAGCCTGGAAATTATTTTCTAATGAGCCATTGCATTATGGGCATTGACTTGAATGTTTTTGGATATTTCTTTATAAAATAAAAAAAAACCCAGCTTTTATATTAATTACAATATAGAAACCCAAGCAGGCCCTCCCGCGCAGTGGGTTAAAGCACTGCACTAAGAAGCTTAAGCCACTTCTGCATGAGTTCGATCCCCGCTTCCCCCAAAGGAGATCCACATGGCTTAGCAGACCTCTCCTGATCCCCCCGCTGCTCCCCTCAGCAGTGTACTTCGTAGATCTGCCTGTTCTGCTCCCCACTCTGTCTCTGGTGAATCTTCTCACCCTCCGCATCTCTGGCCTGTACCCCAGTTCTGTATGAATAAATAAATAAATTTTTTAAAAAAAAAAAACCCAAGCAATATCAACTCATTGAAGAAGCAATTATAAAACCTGCTTTCATTTCATTTCTTTAAATGCCACATACAAGTGAGACCATCCAGTATTTAACTTTTCCCTTCTGACTTGTGTAGGCTAGCATTATCCCTTCCTATTCTAAAAGTAAGTAAATCAAAATTTTAATGATAAAAAAATCTGCACTCATGACTCCATTTGCAATTAATAGTCTAACCATAAAAAATTCAACAAATAAGAACTCATCAATATTCAGGTCACCAACAGGTCATACACACAAGCACTTGTCAAGCCAGATTTCAGAACTCAGGCACTGAATACAAAGAGTTGTCAGGTTATTAAGCTCTTGGAATGGACCCTCTTGAGTTCATGTTGCCTCTTCATTCTTGGACCGTTCCTTAAACTACATGACTCTCAAGTTTCTCATCTATGAAATGAGAACAGCAGATGTCCCCAAAGATTTATTGATTAAATGAGAAGACTTATACAAAGTG